CAGTACTATATAACATTTTAGACACATTCTAGACAGTTTATCTGCTAAAAAAATTTAATTTTGGGGTAAGTTACTCTTTAACCATTAAACATTTTTAGCAGAAGGTATTATTAATGTTACGAGTCAACTTTTCATGCTATCAACAGTTTGGGCTGATTTGTTTCTGTTTCAGGTGTGTTCTGGGTAACACCACCATCTTGGCAGAGTTTGTGAGTGAGGAGGATGTGGGGCGCTACATTGCACATTTAGGAGGAGCAGGGAGCGAAGGAACCTCAGCTGGCTCTGCAGGCTTAGAACCCACCACCAGCTCCAGCATCAGATCGAGCAGCAACGGAGGGAACTGCGAGAGGAGCGGAGCAGGAAGCGGTGGCGTCGAAGGAGGAGGAGGGGAGGGCGTGTCCCCAGTCGGAGGAGCCATGTCTTCCAGCTCAGGGTGGCACAGTCTGAACAGCACAGACAGCTCATCAGACCATACTGCCCCCCAAGGACCCGGGCTCGGAATCTTCACCCAGTGGAGCAGCAATGGGACCGGAGTGGTGGGAGGAGCACAGGATGGAAGGCAGGGTCTGTGGGGAGGGATGAGCGGGGCAGGTTACCCCAGCAGCAGCAGCCTCTGGGGCTCTCCGGCACTTGAGGATCGTCACCAGATGGGCAGCCCCGCCTCCCTGCTGCCAGGGGACCTGCTGGGCGGGGGGGCTGACTCCATCTGAGGGAGGGTCCACTAACACAAGCATCGTTCAACTGAGTTGTATTCCAAATTGTGCGCTCTGCATTTATTTACAAAAAAACAGATATGAATTGAAACTGCATCCAACACAGAGACACATCCTTACCAAAACATCACATTAAACTGTTCCACTTTAAATGAAGACAACAGCAAAACTTGAACTAGGTGGGGGAGGGGGGTGAAATAATTCAACTTTTTAAGACTTTAGCTCTTTGGTCTTTTTACTTCATATCCCATCATCAGCATCCAGAGACCCAATCCCTCAGGCATGCACTGTGGACAGGCTCAGCCAGAGTCGCACATGTCCACCAGGCTGTTAGCTGTTGCCGTTTTTAGTGTGCCACATCTTTTTTTCCCATTTTAGTGGTTTAATCTCATTCAAATTGCAGACTAAGCCCTCATACACCTGGCTGGCATATTTGTATGTTTTTATTTTTTTGTTTGGTGGGAAAAGCTTGAGATTGAAACAGATCTGCAGGAAAGGACGAGCATTTTGTAGAACATTTGGGACAGTGTTACACTACTGAGTCGAGAAGGATGTTTATCAACATTTTAAAAAGCTGACAAGAAAAACGTTAGTCGGTACTGACATCTTGTTGGAAATACGCCTTGACAGTGGGACCCAGGGTAAAACGAAACAAAACAAACAAAAAAATCATGCCATTAGCCAAACTTGCACTATACACCTCTGGGTTTGTTTTGACTCATCCTCTACAAATCTCTTACTTTTCATTTTGTGTTTTTGTAACCGAGCGACAACAAGTGAGGACCTTACAGGATGATTTTGCAGCAGTGGCCTTGGCTGCACACCTGCCACATCAGCAGCATCACTCCCGCTCTTCAGCTTCTCTCAGCTCTTATATTTGAGTATCTCCCTGTCCGTGTATGCTGGTTAAATGCTCTTTGTTTAAACAATATGTGAAACTACGTGGAAATGTCCCCCCCCCCGTTTTATCCTTTAAACACTGACCTCAGTTTCTTTTTTTTCCCTGGAGAAATCTCATTGTGTACGGTCATGATGTAGCTAATACTGTCCGTACAAGACGACCCCCCCTCCCCTCCTGCCTGCCTGCCTGTGTGCATGATCAGAGCGATGGACCGAATGGAAGATAATGATGTGATGAAGATGATATCAGATTGTGTGGTATTGCTTCTACTTTGAATGTTTTTTTTTTTCGTTGTTCAGGAGGTGTGTGTGTGTGTGTATGTGTGTGTGTGTGTTTGCTTTTTCAACACTTATCAGTTCCAGTCAGGGAAGTGAATAAATGTTGGTGTGGATGGCTCGTTTCTAAGAGAATGTATGATGTGATGGCTAAAAAGTTCAAAACCATTGGCACTATTGCATATGTATCTTAAGTTGTGATTTATTTTTTAGCAGCGTTCTGATCTGGTTTTTTTTTTTTTTTTTTTTTTTTTTTTTCCTTTTGGGTCTGTCTAATGCAATAAGAGTGTAATGTTTTGTTTTTAAGACGAAACACAACTGAAGGCATTCATGTAAAGATGCCCTGTCCTACCATACCAAGCTGAGCTGGAACAGTGTTTTACAGACACGTTAAAGACATTACCTGTTATGTTTTATTGTTTTGTTTTTTTTCCATGTATTGATTTAAATTAAGTCGGTCTTATCACTCCTGTTCAGGAAGTTTTCATTTATATCAAATGTTAAAAAAGTAATTTAAAGCAGAAAAGTACAAGATAATAAAGGTTGAGTTGAAGTCTGGTCTTTTGGTTTATCTGTGTTTATTTAGATTTATTTAGTCACTTAAGGTTTTGTAAAAGCTTCTTTATGAGCTCTTTTGGGTTTTGTTTACCCTGCTGCAGACAGACCAGCTGTTAAGCAACTTACAAAGTAAATTCTTGAGTGCAGACTGGAGAAAATGGAAAAAATCTTAACTGCTTTTAAACGTGGGAAACCATCTGCAGTACAAACCCCAGATAGTTCAATTTTGTGTCGATCATTTTGGAAGGTGTTTGAATTGCTCTTTTTCTGACCCCTTTCACCTGAGGCCTGTTTGACATGGAGTCCCCACCAGGGCCTGATGACCCGGACAATAAAGGCTAAGGTTATGGGGGTTACTCAAACCCCTCCGCCATAATGTGGTTTTTCTACAGAGGGAGATACATTTTAAAAATTAAGTTCTATGCAAACGAACATACAAATAGCCACACAAACAATAGTAAAAAGGGATTTTTTAAAAATAAAAGTTATAAAAATGTAGATTTTTTTGTTTTGTTTTAGCTTTTATCTACAATTTTGCTAGATTTTGATTTTAGCTGTTGCTACTTTTAGCTACAGTTTAGCTGATTTTTCCATCTATTTAGTTTTAACATCGCCCACAGTAATTAAAGGTATAATAGTACCTTTAACAGATATAAAATCACAAATTGCTTCACAATAAAGCAAGAAAAACAAGCTTCACATTCATACAGAGTACAAGTAAAAAAAAAAAAAACAGGTTAGAAAAAAAATTAACTCTTAGATGTTGGACACTAAGCTCTAGTTGGAAGATCCGGGACAAACATCTATTCTCTTACTGTTTCATTTTTGTATTGTCTGTTTGTTCTGTTATTGAAGCTGACCGCCCAGTCAGTCCTGTACATCAAGACCAGTTTGATGTTTGTAGGATGTACTTCGGCCTCTGTGGAAGGAGTTTTCACAACCAGTTCTTTATGGTGGCAAAACCAATCAGCTCCACAGAGGAGCAGCCTCTGTCTGACCCAGGTCAGGCCTCTCTTGCTTCATGACGGCTTCGGGGAAGGCAGCTGCAAAGTGTGACTTGACCAAGTGAAATATCAGAAACCAGTGACAGCTGAAGAGATCTGGGACGCGGCACGACAGACAAAACTGGAGACCAACTACTGACGTGAAGAGCTTGCCCAAAATACTGCTGTGATTTACAAGCTGGACAACCCATGTGAATAACTACCAGGCTTCAAGTTCTTTCTGTTCTGCCTTATTTTTTACAAGCACATAAAATCAAAAAGATGTTTGTTTTTACCATTTTCATGTCATCCTTATCTGAGCCACCCAATGCACAGATCTAGATTACATTTTTGATAAAATGTTGATCATAGGGACATTGTGTGACAGCATGCCACGTTTAATAAATTTGAATTATTTCAACTGAGGGCAGCCATAATGCTCACGTAGCCCTCAGTGAAAATGAGTTTGACATCCTTGCCCTAAAACTATTTTACATTTCAAATATTACCTTTTGGGTTGGATGATAATGAGGGCCAGATTTGGCCCAGGGGCCTTAGTTTGATACATGTGCCATATGATCTTGGTAGAGCTGTACATTCTGGATGCTTCTAGTTCATTTTAGTTTAATGTAGAATTTTTTGAGCCATCATGTTGTGCATCATTAGACTGATGACTCTTTTAGCTAGCTAGCAGTTTATTTATTAGGCTACTACTTTTGGCTTTGAGCTAACATTTAGCTTACTTTTTGCTTTTAGCAGTGGCAGATCTATGATTTGTCTGAGTGGGGCCATCAAATGGCCATGATAATCTCAGAGGGGCCAAGTGTTTGTTCAACATCCTTTCACACAATCTCCAGTTTTAGTAAAGTGTTTACATTAACGAGACATATTTGTTCAAACACATGTAACCTGTAATTTTTTTCCCAGTTTTACATACATTTTCACTGTACATAGATAAAATACTCTCACAAACGCAGCATCATTTGTTAGCTGAAAGACTTTTTCTGCAGGATTGTTCAGATTTTCTCAAGAAGATAAGATTGCTGTGAGCTTGATACATGCTGGACTTTCCTATTTGACTTAGTAGTGCCTCTACTGTTTGGACCTGGAACTGCACCCACCATCATCATGCCCAGGTGGCCAATCAGATTTCAGCTGGGGCCAATGCCACTGTGGCCCCGCCCCTAGAACCGCCCCTGGCTTTTAGTGGTACATCCTCTTTGCTTTTTGCTTATTTTAGCTTTAACACCTCAGCTTCTTTGGATTTACTTGGTTAATATTCATGGTAATTTTGTAAAGTTTTCATAATAGAGATAAGTAAATGTGAAATGGTCGTATAATTATTTTTGTCTTTGTGCTGTTACGTTGGTCCTAAATAAGTAAGCAAGTAAGTAAGTAAGTAAGTAAGTAAGTAAGTAAGTAAGT